GTGTAACCAACAAAGAAATGCTATGAAGTAAGGACATCGAACTGCTAGATGTTTGTATGAGGCTGCATTATCTTCCTCTGGAATTTTCACATGATAAGGTGAACTCTGCTAACTCTGCTGCGGCCTGAGTTAGCAGCCAGTGGATATCGGACTCCCCAGTAGGAGGACATCCCCCACCACCAGTGGATATCGGACTCCCCAGTAGGAGGACATCCCCCACCACCAGTGGATACCGGACTCCCCAGGGGGAGGACATCTCCCTGGGGAGCTCAGAAGCTCTAACTTCTTTAGATTCCACACAGTAGGAAGAGCAAAGAGCTCTTTTGTGTGGGAAGAGCTCTGTCCTCCTGTTGAGGAGAATATCAACAGCATCATGGACTGCATTGACTTCTGTGTGGACAACATTGTCCCCATCAGGCAGGTATGGTGTTTCTCCAATTACAAGCCCTGGGTCAATAGAGGCTCATGCTCAATCATCTATGCTTCCTGGTGAGGTCTTTAGTGCATCCATTGCACAACATCTAGCCAGGACTTCTGAGGACAAGCTGGAGCTGTCAGGAGTAGACCACCACATGGGTATCCACCACCAGTGGATACCGGACTACCTCAATGGCCTCCCACACCTGTGTCCCTTTGTCTGCAGTATGGGGCCCCCACAGGGAACTGTGCTGGCACCACTCCTCGTCATCATCTACACTGCAGACTTCTCCATCAAATCTCCACACTGCCATCTGCAAAACCTCTCTGATGACTGCCATAGTCGGCCTCATCACAGGTGAGGACGACTCATAATACAGACAATGGACTGGAGCCAGCAGAACCAACTCTTGATCATCACCAAGGAACTGATGGTGGATTTCTGCAGGCGCACCCCCCTTATTGACGCCAGTGAACATCCAGGGAGTGGACACTGAGATAATGAACTCTTCTAATACATGGGTGTTCACCTGAACAATAACCTAGACTGAACTCATAACACTGAGGCTCTTTATAGAAACCCAACTATGCAAGTTGTGCACTTTGTTATTCATGAGGCCCAAGCTGTCTGAAGAACTTTTTACATTTCTGAACTATTTTCCATCATAATCAATGAGGTTGAATTTTATTAGAAAAAGACCCCAAAAGGCAAAACACTGGAATGTTTTTTTCTCTGTTAGATTTAATGACTTCTCTGTAGGGAACATGGCCTTGTGAAGAGAACATCTGCCATTTATTGACTTCAGACACATTCATCCACATCTTGGCCAAAAGCCATGAGCTGCATGTCAGTATCAGATCAATGTCAGCTTCCCATGCAGCTCTGTGTACACGCAACAAAAAAATGCATTAAAAGCGCAACACACTTCAACAACAACATATTGTAGCCACTCACAACTCACTTCATCTAAATGTTGTATAGTTGAAGTGAGCTGTGGCTTAGACGTCAAGTTTGAACTTGGCATCCAAGTCATGTTTCTAATACGAGATTAGAAATGGACATATTTATTATTCATGCTATAGCATGAATAATAATGAATATTATTCATGCTATAATAATAATATAATTATATAATAATAATAATAATAATAATAATAATAATAATAATAATAATAATGTTGTTGGATGAGAGGTGAAGTGCAAATAAGTTAAAAGAAACTAAAATGAACATAAATAAGGTACAAGAGGAGAAGTTCAGCTCATGTTGAGTTTGAAAGATAGAGATGGTTAGCAAAATGAATTGTGCTACACATGAATTAAAATAAAGTAAAAAAAAAAAAAAAAAAAAAGTAAATGTGAACATCAGTGCATTATAATATCAGTCAGATGACCTTCCCTGGGAAGGTGCAGAAAATTTGTGGATTTTGGTCACATCATACAATTTATATAACTAATTTCTTCTCTTTTTGTTCTGTCCTACCTTCTGTTTTTTATAGTATCGTCTTGCATTACTACCTATAAGAAAACCCCTCCACCAGTGCCACCACGAACCTCCACCTGCTCTACAGCCTCCAAGCCATATATCTCTATCACAGCCCAAAGCAGCACAGAGTCTGCACAGGTACTGAGCACCGCATCAGTAGTGATGCACTACACAGAGACTGATTTCAGACATTCACCTTCTTCCATCTTGCTTTGTCTTAGTGTGGGGAGAGTTGTGGAGTATTGTTTACCATCAACAGAACATCACTTTGTATTGTGGTACAAAACATTTTCACAAATGAAAACAAGCAACCCAATATCTGCCACATATATTTATGTTGTCTCTTTAGATTTTTGCGCTGTTATTTATTACTTCCTGTTTTTTTTTCTTTGTATCCTTTGCTCTTCCCTCCCACTCTGAGTAAGCAGATTCCTGAAGACCTGAAGGATCTACACAGTTCAAATCTGACCAGTGATTTAGAAATTATTTTTGGGCCAATTACTTCTTGGTTCTTTACAGAACAATATCAGAATTTCAAAATGTGAAAAAAAAAGTCACTTATCAAACAGAACCAGAGCAGTGATCTAAGATGTTGTCCCTATTGGTCAAATGAGCTGGAGCTACCTTATTGTTTTTTTAAGAGACCAGTAAAGATACCATTGCAAAATCTTTTAAACCTNGTAAAAATCTGCTCCTGCAAATCAAGGCATTCGCTTCTCCTACCAAAATATGTCCAAATCAGCATAGTGTACAGCAGTACACTTTTGATATGCTGTTGGTAAAAACAGAATGCTATTCTATATACAAGGTAATACTTGCCAGTGACAGAAATTGTCTTTTTGTTCTTAAACCAACCAGGATGCCTATATGGAAGATGAAGGGCCCAGAGGAGACATGACAATCCAGTCAGGGCTCAGCAACTCAACAGAGAGTATTGACAGCATGAAGGCCTTGACAGCTGCCATAGAAGCTGCTAACGCTCAGGTTTGTGATTGTATGTTATGACTGTAAAGTAAGATGTGAAAATGATTTCACAGCCAATTTATTTAGTTGAGAGTTTTGGACATAACTACTTGTATCATAATTTAATGTCTTGAAAATGTGTACTACTTGCAAAAAGAAGAAATGAGTTTGGAGAGATTATGAATACTGTGTATTCACAGCCTGGTTGGTCCTGCGACTTATACTGACTTACAGCTGTTGAGTCTTTGAAAAGAATGGGAGTGGAAATGTAACCAGGGGACATCCAGATCCAGGGATCAGTTCAGGTAACCTGCACGAGGAAATAACGCGGGTGAGAAAGGCGAGAAGCTACATTAGGAGACACTTAGAAATCAGAGGGCCTGGAGTTTTACTACTACTCGTTAGCACTCAGGCACCGACATGCTGACTTCCAGGTCCTTAAGTAGTCCACCTGATGAAGCGGAAACAAGCTGTAGGTCTGCAAAAATGAGCTGGATCACACAAACTGCAGAAAAGAACTAAAGGAATAAGTGAACACACCTCCTACAACCCACCAATATGTGAATCAAGGCAGGTGAACAAATACTTTTATCAGTATAGTGGTATTTGTTTTGCCTCTTCATGATGTATTATTAACTGATATATTAAATGCTAAATCATATTAATGGGCATGAGCCAAGAACCTTTACCGAGAAAAGCTAAACACTGACAGCAAGATGAGCAGAGCTGGAGGAACGAGTTCACTGCTGGATGCTGAACGTGCCGCTGGGAAGGAAGGAGTTGCGTCTCCATGCCCTGGAATTTGCCAATGAAAGTCATTAATAAAAATGACTTTGGAAGTGGACCTTTCCACTACAATGTACTGTAAATATAGATTTACACTACATGCGTTTCTGCTCTGGAAGTGCAGAGCAGAGCCGTTCCTGACTACCCTGATTCAGAACACTGATATCAATGTGTCAGAAACTTCCAAGCCAAGATTGATGGATTATGTCAGTTTGTTGAAAAACAGGTAACTGAACACCATGTCACTCTTGTGACAATTTCTATTTTTTTTCTAAATAAATACATCTTACTTATGTTGTTTTCCCTTCATGGTGTATTTTTGACTGATGCAACTTATACTCTTCAGTGACTTATGCTCTTTTTCCACTGGCTCTAATGGACCGAGCTCCACTCTACTCAGTCTGCCTTGCAAGCATTTTCACTTGCCTTTTTTCAGCTTTGCATCTGCTTTTTCGGTCCCTGCTATGGAGTAGGGTCTGCCAGGGCCCTACATATGTAGGCAGTGATATTTAAACTTGCTTTAGTGATTGAGGTGTTCCATAGTCTCAATTTAAGAAACACTTGAGTCTTGGTCATTGCAGAAGAATCCAACTAAAATACTTATGTTTGAGACTGACAGTTTGGGTTTTGCTGTGAAACTTTGACACAATTGAGTGTTCCAGTGGGTTTAGTGATCCCAAACACATGGTATATGTGTATGTAATGGACAGAGAAGGCTGACATTAGACTTATCAAAACACCTTTCAAAAATTACAACCTTAATCCTGTTAAGAATTTGTGAACTAGGCTTAAAAGTCAAGAAGTCAAATGATTGAAATAAACTATGCAAACATTTGTCAGATGTGCATAGCTGTCTCAAACGGCAGTCCTTTTTATTTGTGTACCTTGTCCTACACACGAGTTAAAAGTCAAAACTGCTAATGAGCTAATATTGGAGCCAGGTGTGCTAAAGCACAGAGATATAGAAAACACTGAGGACAGAAGTTTTAGACCCTTGATCTAGAATTATGACAGAAGCTTATTGATGAGTACAAATAAAGAGAGGTCAAGGTTCTCTTGCCATGAAAGTTCAAAGTGATTATGACCTTCTTTCCCATAAACACTACATGTAAACTCTGACTGGAACTGTCTCTACTTAGGTGCATGGACCTGCCAGTCAACATGTCAGTAACAGCACGATGACAGTCAGCACTGCCAGTTCCCCGCACCTCAGCAGGGGGCAAGTTGTTGAAGAACATCGGGATGAATACAGAAAAGAAGCACTCAGGAAGGGGAAATGTCTCTCCATAGGCATCCAGGTACAGGATTTGTAGTTAATTTACTTTACACATAACAGAAAAATCAAAGTGCATTAGAGGAAGGTATGCTGAAGTATGGAAGAATTGTGTAGTTTAAAGTTCTTTGTGTCCTGTAGGTTGATGGACCAGAAGACATTCCAGATCCAGAAGACCCTTCCAAGTTCACGTCTGTGGGGGTACAAGTGGAGGATGATCGAGGGTGAGGGCGATTATTGCAGTGAAAAAAAATTTAAATATTTTTTGATTTCGATTCTATTCTTTCATAGAATAGAATAGAATATACCTTATTGATCCCCAAGGTGAAATTGCTTATTAGTTTACAAGCTACTTCATCCAAGGTGTTAAATATTAACAGTACAAATATAAGCATAAGAGAGAAACTTTTTAAAATATATACACCTAGAGTGATGTAAGGAATTCAATATGACGGAATATAGATAAATAAATAAATAACAATCATGCACATGCAAATATGTTGATTTATAAATAATCTACACAAGTACAAAGAAAATTAGGTTTAAGTTACTCAGAGCTGGGCATTGTAAAGTCTAATGGCTGCAGGCAGAAATGACACTGTGGTGCACTTTGGTAAAATGAGTCTCTGGCTGAAGGGGCTCCTGTATCCAACCAGCACATCATGAAGAGGATGAGACTCGTTGTCCAAGATGGCCTGAATGTTGGACAGGATCCTTCTTTTTGACACCACTGTCAGAGAGTCCAGCTCCACTCCAACGATGTTACTGGCCTTCCAGATCAGTTTGTTCAGTCTGATAGTGTCCTCCACCTTCAGTCTGCTGCACCAGCACACCACAGCATACAGGATGGCACTGGCAACCACAGAGTCATAAAACATCCTGAGCAAAGTCCGGCAAATGTTGAAGGACCTCAACTTTGGCCTTTCCTGTACACAGCATCAGTGTTCTTGACCAAGTCCAGTTTATTGTCAATGTGGAGTCCCAGATATTTATAGTTCTCCACAATGACCACACTGACCCCCTGGATGGTCACTGAGCACAAGAGGAGGGAAGGAGATGTAAAGGTGAAACTCACATGGGTGGACAGCAGCAGTGGCATTGATGGGAGTGTGAGCAGGAGGTGCAGGGGCCACAGTGTCAAATCTGTTGAAAAACAGGTCGAGTTCATTGGCTCTGTCAATGTTGCCCTCAACCGCTCCACAGCCTGCTGATCTGAACCTGGTGATGATCCTCATCCCTCTCCAGACCTCTCATGTTTCCCTGCTGGAGTTTCCTCTCCAGCTTCTTCTTATATTTCTCTTTAGCTCTTCTGATCTTCACCTTCAAGCACCTCTGAATTACTCTCACATCATCCCTGTTGCCATCTCTGAAAGCCCTCTTCTTCTCATTCAGGATAGTTTTGATTTCCTTTGTTACCCAGGGCTTATTTGGGTAACAATAAACTGTCTCAGTAGGGATGATGGAGTCAACATAGAAGGAGTCAGTTATGCACTCAGTGAGCTCACCAATGTTCTCCATATTTGAGTTCCTGACAGTCAGTGGCTTCAAAACATCCTTGTAGTGTCTCAGTGACCTCCTTTGACCCTATCCTCACTATCCTCGTGGTTGCAGTCTGGCTCTTCACCAAGGACTGAAGGGCATCAGGTTATGATCAAACTTTGAGTGGAGGGAGGGGAGAGGAACTGTATGCATCCTTTACGTTAGCATACAGCAGGTCCAGAGTTCTCTCTTCTCTGGTGGGACAGTTCACATACTGGGTGAAGTTGGGCAGCGTTTTGTCCATGGCGACATGAATAAAATCACCCAAGATAATCATGAATGCAGTTGAATGTCTTGTCAGGAAGCAACCTACAATGGAGTGGATGATATCACAGACCATGTAGGGTTGTCATCCGTCCCATAAAATACAGAATCGTCTTATTTGGCTGTTAAATGTTGCGTCCCATATTGAACCGATAAGGGGCATGTATTGGTCCATATTTCAATAATTGTCTGATAGACATACCTATCACACACATAACAGCACTAAGTGTAACAATAATGACCAAAATAAAACACAGGAAATATTAAGGTCAGCTAAATTGTAGTGGTGGGATCTACACTACCCCGCCAGAACACTACGGTTCAATGCTGTTACCATGGTTACCTAGAGACGGACAATACGCAGCCAAGATGAGCTGCTATCAACCTGGGTCTTTTTAAAATGTCCACCCAATACTCCACCATGCCCTTAGAAGCAAAACCTCTTGCAAAAGTACAATAGGAAGACATACATCTCAGGCTGAACCGTCTTAGTGAGGATGAATACAGACATTTTAAAGAATGTGCCCATTGTGGCGCAGTGTGCTTTATGATATCAGAATGCATCAGTAGAGGAACACTGCAGACCCGCCAGAACCTAGAAGAACCAGATATCAGCGTCTTTTCAACCCTCAACCATCTCCTGAGGCTGATATGGTACAGAACATTTTGCTATGATTAAGTTTCTTATTGTGCTTTTAGTAGAATATTTTGGGTTGATTATTTGCTTAGGATGTTGAGTTTAGATGACACTTTATTTAATCTATAATAGTATCAGCTAAAATAATATAAATGATCATTTAAAGAATAACTCATGCTAATAGATTACCAGTACATACATAAATATTTCCTACTTTAAAACGGTTTGCTAGGGCTTTCTGTGTGTTTTCTTTAGAAATGTTGATATATTTTTTGAATACATTGCTCAGTGTTCATTTGATGTATTATTACTATTATTCCATTAATGTGGTTTACCAGTTTGGATAACCTGACTTCCCGTTAATGGAAAAAAAAAACATGCTAATCAAAAATGCACCAGATACAGACCTGCAGTCCAGGGACGGTTCTAGACAATGATCAAAAGTGTAAATCTAATTTGTTAATACTCAGTGGTGGATTTTTTTAACCTTCACAATTTTACTTTAACAATGAATTCAAAATTATAGTGCTGCACTTTTAGCTGTTGTATTTAGATAGGATCACACTTTCCATCTGCTACATCATGGGTCTGTAACCTAATATGCAAGTAGCTCTTTGGCTCACATAATATATCAAATGATGAAATATTGCAGTTTTTTTTTTGTTGGTGTTTCATTTTTTTATCATGAAGCGTGCTGCTGACCTTCGTTGTTTTTGTTGTTTCCCGCCACCAGGCCGTTGTGCCACAGCTGTTTTGAGTTCTTGATTATGTTTCTTTGTGTATTTAAGTCATCTGTGCCTTCTGTTCCTTGTTGGATCGTAGTCGGACTAGCGGCTCTCGCAGTGTTTGTGTTTCGCGGTCTGGATATATACCAGTTTAATAAAGTAAGTGGCTCACCTTTTCAACGACGGCTGGTCTTCCTTCGATCACCATGAGGGCGAAACGTGACATTTTTTAAGTGTCACCATGAAAAAATACTGACTACTCTGGCCCCCATGGTAAATTTGGACTAGAATCAGCCAAACCTAACTCCTCATTTGTATATTTTGGTAAAACTATTTAAAATACAATAATTTGCACCTTCATATTTTTGGCTGTCTGGTGACTTAAATGTTAAATCAGGTATTATGATCATTTATTCAGTACTTGAGTAGCTTAAGTAATTTATGGTTCCTTTCTATTTCTACTTAAGTAAAAACCTGTTGAATGTATGCTATTCTGATTGGAGTATAATTTTGGGGTACTCTAACCAACCTCTATGTATGAATAATTGCTCTATGAATCTTTTATTTTTTGAACAAAAAAATATTGCCATAAAACAATGTCTTATCACTGCAGCAACCATCCCAGCCCATGAGAGTAGGGCGACACGGGCTGATAGGTACTTTTTCTCGAACCTATATAAAAAGACCACAGACAACGTATATGAATTTTATAGACAAAGCTTTTGCAAAAGGAGAACTCTCCGCCACCGCCTCTCCAGGCCGTTCACAGAGAGTTCTGATCTCCTTCCACGTGAGCCCCTGTTTTATTGTCAAAGCAGAACAGCCATAAAAAAACAACAGAGGTCGTAAAACATTTAACCTAAACAAACCAGCAACTCAGTTCCAGGTGTGATATCTGATCTACGATCTGAGCCCAGTTCAGCTCTAGGTCAAACTGTCAACAAAGAGGGAGGATAAACAAGAGACAAAATACGACTGCTCACAGGCAGTTAGGAGGTATTCTGGTTGATAAGATTTAAGGTCTGGGAAACACAGAGTTAACTGTCTCACATCAAGATAAACAGACAGTCGTAACCTCCAGATCAGTTTATACACACATAAGGAAGAGAACACTTTAAACAGAAAATCACAATAATACTGATTAACATTAGACTGAATATGAACTAAATTAATAACAAAATGATAATACCAAAAGGCAGTCGTAACCTCCAGGTCAGTTTATACACACATAAGGAAGAAACACTTTCACAATAACATTAGACTGAAAGTAATAACAAAATGATAATACCAAAAATCTCTATCACGGGCTGTGGTGGGCCACTCCTTTCCGTTTACTTCTCTCTGTGAAATTCCGGTCAGGCTGAACAGTCCAGTAACCCTCTATGGAGACATTGGCATCAGGAATGCCAATGTCTCCATCAAGTATGGGTGCAGCCATGTCTCCGTAAAACACATTAGGCTACATTCACCGTACTCCCTCTGGCTCCTGGACAGCGATGTTAATTCATCCATCTTGTTAGCCATCGATCTAACTTGCCCATGCTAATGGTGGGAGAAACAACTTATAACTTCTCTTCTCCATAAGCCTCTGTTTCTTCCTTATTGTGCTCCTCCACTGTTTGTTTTCTCCTCTGCAACCCTGATGTGTCCTTCTCCAGACCTCTTTGGAGATTTCTGTGGATCTGGACACCATGTCATCCGGCTTCAGCACTGTTACGACCCGGCTTGTTGAGCCGTAACAAAATCCAAGGAGACACGGACTTCAACAATAAATATGATCTTTATTGAGCATCAAATCTAAAATAAAACAGCAGCAAATAAGCAGGCGACCCTATGTGGCCGATGGCATCGCCAGAAGCTGGTGGTGTGAGCAAGGGAGTCCTGCAAAAGAAAAGAAAAGCCAAACCAAGCAAAGTGTCATGTTTTGTGGTTTAGTGACGTGAGGGAGAACACAGAGAGAACCAAGGATGAAGATGATGATGAAGATTTAATGACAGATGTACAGCTCAACAGTCCGGATGAGTAGGCAGCACAAGGAGCTAAGGCTAAAGCTAACACTGGAAGCTACCGACTTAAATAACTGTAACCGAGTGGCTTCAGTACTGTGGAGCTGAAGCCACCACAGGACTTCACATTTCTACTGTGAAGTCTGTCTAACTAACTAGACAGACTGTGACAACTGACAACTCACATCTGATGACTAACAAATGACAAGGATCCGACGAAGGACAGACGACAGGTGGGGGTTAAATACACAGGAAAGGTAATCAGGGAACTAGACACAGCTGGGAGCAGTCAACAGGGAAGACAGAAAATCACAGGGGAAACAGAACTAAACACAGAAAAACCTCAAAAATAACTACACAGAAAACACAGATCATCACACAAAGCAAAACAAAACCAAACAAAGTCGGGGCGGGTAGGCAAGTCGGGGAAGTGCCAGTCTGGAGAGCAGAGGTGGATGGAGAAGACAACTCAGCTCCAAGCCAGCTTCAACTCCGCTCACCCAGTTCCTTCTCTCTCCTCTCCCACTCTTGATTCACTGGAGCAGGCTGCTTATATAGCCAAGATGCGCTGGGCCCTAGTGGATCCTGGTCCCGCCCCTTCCGGTGCAACTTGGAACAAAAAGCAATTAGTAAATGACGGATCCCTTCACGTAAAGTGGAGAGAGACATCACAACACAATGAGCTGATCCCTGGTGTAAACAATTTGGCCAAGTTATTATGCTTACCAGAGTAAAAAACAAGTATCTCTACAGCGAAGAAAAAGATTATGACTCTTAAGAGTACTGGAAATGAGCTTCTTGTAACGTGCACAAATGAATTGTTGCAAAATAATCAATCCAAAACAATTAAAAAAGCAAATACATGAGTATCCACAACAGGCTGTATACATGTTGGCGCATGGGCACTAAATTACAAATTTACTGATTTGTATTAAGTATATGTAGAAAGACATTGCAAAATGTAAAAGTGTTGACTGAGTTGTGTCTTGACAGTAGATATTGATGGTTTGGTGTCTTGGATGTCTAGATATCGAAGGCTTCAGCGCTCCAACAGTGTGACAGCAGCTGTACAGGTAAGCAGCAAGCTTGCGTTGACAAGCTCTGATTAATAATTTGGATTGGGTCAAGTTCTCTATGCTGTTCCAAACCTTATCCGACAGGACTGTTGGACAGAGCTGTTTTCCTTCTTCGTAAACAAAGCGCTCTGCTCTACACATCGGAATTGATGAATGACTATACTTTATGAATTAATTATTAATAAACAGAGTCCTGGAGCTGGCCAGAGTTCTGAGTGGGTCATAGGACAGATAAACGGAGAAATAGCAGCACATATGGCTGGTTCTGTTACTGATCTTTCACTGTGAAAATCTATATATCTATACACCTGTGATATCTTGCTCTTTGGAGATCTTTTTGCAGAACAATTATCAAATTTCTACATGTATGTGTTAAATTTTGGATTCAGCCCACATTTTCCAGACTCAGGTAGAGGAATAAATCTGACTTCTTTTGCAATGCCTTTTTTTTTGGCTAAAATACAGAATATCAAGTTGGTCTTTACAGAAGACATGAGGGAATGACAAATCATTTGGAAATATACTGTATTAATGTAGGCTATTTACAAAACTAAGCATAAATTTCAAACAACTAAATACTAAGTTAGTTCTTGGATCCTCTTTATTTCCCAATCCAGGCAGATCTAGACCTGCCAGACCTCCTAGACACTCCTCTAGACTCTCCACACCCTCACAGAGGACGTCTGGCCTCCTCTGGCATGTCTCGGAAGTATTCCCGCGATGCAGCCACCTCCACCGTCAGCATTCAAGGCTCAGGGAACCATTACCATGCCTGCGCTTCAGATGATTATGATGATGTTGGTTTTGACCCGTCCATCCTCCCCCCTCCTGATCCCTGGATAGATACTGTTACTGATGACCCACTTGATGCAGACTTCAACAGCTCTGTTATTCTGGAGGTATGTGGACTTGTTTTACTCAATTTGGTTTGTTTTTAATGCATATCAATTATTACAATCATTTTTTACACATCCTCGATATCGATGACCAAAGTCCTTCACAAAATATATATATATATATAGAAAAATAAGGATGCACCGATATGAACATTTGGGTTGGAACTGATATCCAATATTATTACTGCTGTTATGATATCTATATATCTGATATCAGTCAGACAGTTTTCAAGTCTGTAGGATGAAAGAGCACATAGAGTCAAAGCTCAGTCAATGATCAAGTCGAGGAGAGAGATGGGATTTAACACTGAAAGACAGGGACAAGTGTATCATCCATACAAGGAAATCATTAAGTTGTTGGCAGCAGAAGCTCCGCTGACGACCCCTCCCAGTGCTCCTCCCGAGCCTCCAGCCGGCTTAACAGAAACCAGACTCGATGTACACTGGCTTCAGAGAAAAAATACAGAGAGCAAAAAATTAAATCTGAAATAACAGGAAAAAAAGCAAAATTGGAGAGAAGTAAGAGTACGTAGCAAAGAGAGGAAAGATGCAGCCTAAGCCAGTCTGACTACGTTTTATCAGAAAGGAAAGTTTAAGTCTAGTCTAAGCAGGGTGTCTGCCTCACCCCTGCTCTAAACTATATTTTTCACCCTGACCTAGCTTATGATGTTCCTCAAACAGACTAAGAAAAGAACGCAATAATTATTAAAGAGACTTGCGAAAACAGCTTGGGTATAAACAAGGTAATGAATGCATTTTACTGATGACTGTCTTTGTGTGCTCTCCATGAACCCATGAAGGGAAAACTTCCTGTCAGCCAGTGTTGGTGTGTGCTTCACCTCAGTGAGTGAAATGCTGGCCTGTTTGCTGGACAACTGTCAAGTCTGCAGGCTTCCCTTCCCCATGATTGTGTGGGTCATAATATAATAATAAACCTTGTCAAATGTGCAGTTTGACGCATTATTATATGAACGTTGTCATGTTATCTGAACATGTAATGTTCAATGTCAGATGCTAAATTTCTGACATTTGAAATATATTACTGAATCTACACTATATTTTATCTTTTGAAATAACTTGCATGTACAATTTCTAAGAAAATGCATTCCTCATAACACACTTCCTCTATATGCATTTTAATATTTAGAACACACAAATATTACATTTAATTTAAAGATTTCATCTTCTTTAGATCGTGTTATTGCTGTGCATGTGTGGAAAATGTTAGCAGAAAATGTTAGCTTTAGAAGAATGAATGTTCACATTTCCTTCTGAATAACCTTATATTAAGATATTTATTTATCAGCAGCTGAAAATGTTAACCTTGCCCCATTAGTGAGAGATAAACCAGCAGTTACTTTCAGCTTCATTCAGGGATTTGGTGTAGTTTTAATGAATATTTCATGTACACTATTTTGACAGTATGTACAAATCTGAATATTGTGATGTAAGGTGGTACAACGGTCGGTCTGTCAGAGAGATGGACGCTGGTTCCTGAAGCTTCTTCAAGCTGAGACCGACCGCATGGAGGGATGGTGTCGGCAGATGGAGCTCGACCAGCGGGAGAATGAGTTGCCTGAAGATAGTAGGTTTATATGTGTTTGTTCATCGTTCAGCCTTTTAGCAAACATTTCAGGAGAAATAGTCCAACACACATTTTAAATATTAATTTTGGATAGTATAAAATTCTGTTTTTTATTGCAAAGTTCATACAAAGGGTCTCAACCATAAGAAATATAAAAGGTCCACAGTTATAGAAAATTCCCATTTTGTATCTTTCTGTCCTTCCACTTGGGTATTTATGGCTTTTACAAATATTCCAAGAGCAAAAGACACCAAATACCCAGCTGCTTTTTAGAATAAGTAAATGTACTGCTGGTGTTTGCAAGACAGTGTGTTTCAAAAACTTCTAAATTGTTGCATCACAACTTTTTACAAACCAGTCCCAAGTGGACCTCCACCCATTTCATTACAAGTTTGTTCTGCTGGTTTTTCCCCTGCACAATGACTGCTTGAAAAGCAAAGTGTTTTGTTGTCAACTGTAACACAGAGCTTGAGTATGTGTTTGTCATAGTTTGAGGGTGTTGCTGAGGAGATAGACACAGGTAGGCCCAGGCAGACATAGATGAACAATGATTTAATGGTGAATACTCCAAAACAAAGTCCAACAGTGACAGCTCAGGGAAACAGATAGACGACAGAACACTCGACGTTAGACGAGGATCCGACAAGAGACAAAGACAACAGGTGGACTTAAATACACAGGGAGAGTAATCAGGGAATAAGACACACCTGGGAAGCAATCAACAGGGAAGGCAGGACAGGGACAGGACTAAACACAGAAAACCTCAAAAATAACACAGAAAACAGAACACAACAGTGTTCATGCATGTTCTCCCAGTCATGGAGAACAGAGCTGCGTGGCTTCATAATATTTCTGCTTGCAATGTCCTTGCAATATTGCCAAAGTAAGTTGTAGTTTGTACAGATCATTTTAAGCAGAAATCCTCTGAAAACTACAAACAGTTCATGACAGAATTTGCACAAGCTAACACTAAACAATAGTCTCTGCTAGTCCTGTGTCTCACTTTATGTTACTCACAGTCAGTGTGTCCGAATTCAGGGTCTGCATCCTTCAAAGCGTATGAATGTCTTTGCGTCAAAGGACCTGGTCTACGCAGGACGGGTCCTTCAAAGGCCACAAATATTTGATGACTGGAAGAGAAAAGCTGTGAATTTGGACAGGTCCAGTCATAGAGAAAATAAAGAATAGACGCTATTTAACATTGCGGTTAAATGAAGCTATTATGTTTAAATGCTTCACTTTAATCAATCAAACTGATTTGCTAAGAAATAAATTAAATACTTAGGATAAACAAACTTTATGCTGCTAAACATTACCTGACTGAACAATGTTGCCGTTCCACTCTTTGGAGAAAACTATTGGAAGTTTGAAAACAATGTGCCAGGAGTCAGGCGTTCTCTCCATGTAAACCGAATCTATCTGGATCACCCAGCCAGGTGACAGCTGGCGAGGGGAGCTGGTTGTTAATGCAGCGGGAGCAGACATCTCCGAAAATACTGTCAGAGCAATATTGCAGTTAGGTGGAGTATTGAAACACCAAGCAGATATCTGAGATTTACAAAGCTACATTCTCAACTAAAAACATTATAAAATTTAATGTTGTGTCACTTAGAGCAAAAATAATTTGCTGCTCTTCACCACCATTGCTGCTTTTCCCAAACACCTAATTTGGACCCTCAATGATTCATAGGATATGGTGGGTCATGAAGGATACACTGGACCCATCCAGTACACAGGTGTGGTGCATCAGGATGGCTGATGAATGATGATTAACCCTTGTGTTCAGAAATGGGGGCCAACCGACCCCACACACGTAAAACTTGTATCATTTGCCACCGTCCTCTACATTTGTCCCAGTCCTCGCACGCACAAGGGTTAAGCCATTTCATTCCAGTGCTTTGTACCTGTGGCACATCTAAAAACTGCAGGACAGCGGCCCTTGAGGACTGGAGTTTGACACCCTGGTCTAAGATCACAAAGTTTAAAAATATATAAATATCTGACCTTTGTCGTTGGCCGTTGCCAGATCTGCAGCAAACTGGTGCATGACAGAGGCAATGGTACTGTCTTACCACACCACAGCACCTCATACCATACATTTGTCTATGTCTGCATATATATGTATAGTTATGGCCCAGCTCAGATGACCACAACAAGAAACTGGGGGGACACGACTCCAGAAACCATTTTAAACCCTTCAGACGCATTAATTAAAATGAAGTCTAGGGGTAGTGGGTGGCAGCCTGGAAATAAACTGCCATACAACAAATGATTCCGTATTTTACATGATGGGTGGCAACCCCATCCTATACTATAAGAATCCAATCAAGATTAGAGGCTAACGACGTTCTATTTCCAAAACAGAAAGGTCACATAATGTTAGCTAGCTAACAACAAAAACACGTTCCTTCATAGTCAAACGGGTATCGTTCGGTGAAGAATTTATAGCCTTTGTCTAGTTTAGATTGTGTTGTCAAAGAACATTTGTTTGCAGATCGTATCGTGATATAACTTCAAATTGTATTTGTGGCCGTTTTAAAGGCTGCGTAAACTCCATCCTCCAAAAGTAAGGATACACTACACCAAGGCCAGCAGCAGCTCATTTGTATAATTGTGACATAGCGCTAAAACAGTGTATTCCTTAATGAGCTCAAAACCAACAGAACTGATGGGTGAAATCTCAATATCTGAGAATAATTTTGTTTTATAAATGTAATGAACATGTTTTGCATAGTCCACAGACCTATCCTAGCTTGTTCAAGAAACTATAATAGTGGACCATTAGTGGATTAATGAAACATTTAGTGGAACATGACAATCTTGTTGATGAGTGGAAAAAATGCAACAATGCATGTACAGTTTATAGGCAATAGACAAAAAGTCTACACAGCCCTCCAATAAATTTTGCAATGAAAAACACTTACAAATAATTTTAAAGCTTTTTCCACCTTGACTGTGATATGCATCCTGTACAATTCAACCAGAAAACAAACTAATAAACCCTAAAATAATGCTCTGGTGAAACACAGATCCAGGAACAGCTCCTCTATGCCTTTATTTAGCTTGGCTGATGTGTGGTAGTGTTTGGCTCCCACCGACTCTGCATAGCTCTCAGCGTCTTCCACTGAGACGTGTCTGTCTTTGGATGAAATTGCAGAATTCAGTCTTGCTTGGTGGGAGTCAGACAGCATCCACCAGCATGACTTGCTAGTGTCTGTCCTCTCTATGCATTAGATCCCCCTCGCCCACCTAATGGTGGTTAAATAATTGTAGATTCATAGATTTTTCTGTGGAACCTAACCTCAAATTATTTGCTAAAATCTGACTTATTTGTCCATTAAGTCAATGTCCAAAATAGTAAAAAGAGAATAATTTCAGCTATTTGCAGTCTCTTTGGGGATCTTTGGGAGTTTGAGAAGACAGAAAAGGATAAAGAAACAGATGAACTGATGTAGGATTAATTTTGATGCTTAGAAAAGTAAAAAGTTAATAACAGAAGAGGGAGGACAATTAGTTGATGGGAGCATTATCTCAGCCAACGCCTCCTGCAGGAAGGTATCACAAGGTATCGTTTTTGACTTGGTGTTTTACTTCAAAAAACTGGCATTTCAAGCAAGGTGTATAAACGTTTTATATCAATTTTTGTATCATTTTCAAAGGTAAAAACACATTCAAGCCTTGTGTTTATCCTACAGTTTATTTTAGCATAACTTGTGTTTGTATTCTCAGTCCTGGAAAAGATGAGAACTGCTGTTGGAAGTGCTCAGCTTCTGATCTCCCAGAAGTTTCAGCAGTTCAGGGAGTTATGTGAAGAGAACCTGGTGAGTGCAAAAATCATTATCAATAACTTTACTGGAAAACTTGAATCTTCAGGCCTACTGGACTCTTTACAAGTGCTCTGAATTCCAACTTTTCTTTGAAGAAAATGCATTCAGTTGTAGCTTTTGTGTACATAGTTATTTAGAAGGTATTGATTATGCATTTGATGTAACTTTTATCTTCGATTGTTATGTAATAAGCTAATAACAACAGCTAATAAAATTATTAATAGTCTCATGGAAATATCACTCTGCTAGTTTTGTGTGTATAATAGGGTTCAGTTCGGTTCAATTAACTATTCTTATTTTAATTCAATCTACTTTTCAAAAAAAGATTCCAGTTGTGAGTTACTCTTATAATTTTGTTCTTTTACATTATATATAGCCTTTTGCAATTATCATTTGGGTTGTCCATAGTTGTTATAAAAATAACAAGTATAACCAATAATGTGATATACTTCTCAGTTTGACCATGCTTGCACTTGGAGAAGAATTAAAAATTAATAAGCATTTCCCTTAGATTAGTTCTGTTTATTTATTTTTTTCTTCTTTTTTACTTTTTTTTTTTTTTTGCACCATTACAGAACCTCAGCATCCATCCTCGTCCTGTGGCCGCAGACCTGGCTGGCTTTTGGGATATGCTTCAGCTGTCTATTGAGAACATCAGCCTCAAGTTTGATGAGCTTCACCAGCTCAGGGCCAACAACTGGAGACCGCTGGACCCTCCCGATAGAAAGGTACTCTCATTCCTTAGATGATGGAAAAATGACATACCTTCCTTTGTTGTTTTGCTCTACCTATTATAGGCATTTGCATGAACATGATATTTAAAATTGAATATCACAAAGTGTTAAGGTTATTCACCTATTCACAAATGTAATCTACACCAGAATAACATATTTCCTTTTATTCAAACATTTATCATGTTTGAATAAAAACTGGATGCTTTTCCAGTTGAAATAAATATTTGTATCTTCATTTGTTTTTTTTCCTATTGATCCTGAATTTTTAGAAATGGCAGGCTTCATTAAGACCCATAATTATTGACACATCTTTAAATGCAAACGTCTAAAGAAAGAGAGAGAAACTGTGACTTAACCTTGATGTTTCAACATAGTACTTGTCTGGCTGTATGTCTATGTTAAAATGACATTAATATCAGGTTTAGAATTTCTTCTATTATCTTGACCTAACTTAGTGACAAGTTATGAAAGCATTAGATGTAACTTTTGATTGTAGAATTTTAGGTGTGGACCAAATGCTTTAGGTCTCCTTCTGTAATACTGTAGCATGAAGAAGATATCAGGTGCAAAGACAATGCTGAATGTATGTGATGCTAATATTTTGCTGGCCTAATTGACTGGATGCATTGTCATTAGTGCTATTTTTGAGAGATTTGCTTTGCATTCCAGTTGGTTTCAACTGGTGGATATTTGCCTTTCACACAGTTTTAGTTCTTTAAATCAGTTTAAAGTAGGGGTGCACTGATAAATAAGCTGGCTGATAAATCGGTACACCCCTTAGAAAAGTGAAAAGGGTTAGGGTTAGGAAGTGTGTTTGGACATACAGTATGTAGTCCACGCTGCTGAGTAGCATTGCTTATAGGACCCAGCATCATTGTGCCGACGTACCAAAATAAGTTCTCACTGTTGCAATTGCATAACAAAAATAGTATTATTTTCTTCTCAACATATTGATGTCCACCTTTTTTTGTCACAACACAGCTGACAAACTTTCTGAATCTCTGTGCCTGTGAAACTGTTGTGTGATGGGTCAGAATTTTTTGAGTGTGTTTAGTCTCTGCCATGATTACTGTTGTAATCCACATATATGGCAACAAACCACAACATACACTGCAGCAGCAGGAGCTTTACAGGAGCTCTGCTTGATGTGCCTTGGGGTGCAGCCTGAAGTCACCCAATTCCGATTTTTTATTTTTTTTTTGCCGGGGCTGTTCACACTGCCTGTAAATGCGACCTGTATGTGTTCTGCAGTGGCAAACCTGAAAGTGTCCTGCATGCGCAGTAGAGGGCGCAATAGCGTCAGCATTCTCAGTGTTCTGCCAACCTCCTTAACCGGACTACCAGGAAAAAAAATATTGTCCATTCACCTTTTTTTTTTTTTATTCCACAATCTTTGTAAGGTAATTAGAATACTGAAAACATTTTTTGAGGAAAAAAAGTTTTTATTTTTGAAATATGATGTGTCCACTACAGTGGACATCGGAACCCCATACATTTGAAATTGAACCTTGATGGCAACCAGTTTGTCCCAAAGAAAATATCCAAACATCAACATAAGAATGAATTTCACATTGACAAAACTGAGCACTGTTGCTTAGCAAGAAGGTTCTGGGTTCGATTCCTGGCCCAGTGTCTTTCTGCATAGAGTTTGCATGTTCTCCCTGTGTATGGTGGGTTCTCTCTGGGTACTCCGGCTTCCTCCCACAGTACAAAAACATGACTGTCAGGTTAATTGGTCTTTCTAAA